TGGAGTTCAGAGGAGGGAGAGATAGCAAAGCCTGCAGACTTTGGTGTTCTGGTGCTTTAAGCAGCTAAGAGACCAATCCTATTGCAGATACCTGCCTCAGTGATCTGTTTTAACTAACTTCAGTCAGTTTCCAAGTCCAGTTGGAATGATGAGACTGAGCAGCAAATAGTTTTAAGGGTTGGTGTTAGGTGCTGTTGAGGTGGTTCTGACTCATGGTGACTCTGTGCAGCAGAATGAAACACTGCCTGGTCCTGTGCCATCCTCATGATCGTTGCCATGCTTGAGGCCATCGTCAGAGCTGCTGTGTTGATCCATCTCATTGAGAGTCTTCCCCTTTTTCACTGACCCTTTACTTTACCAAGCATGATATTGTTCTCCAGGGACTGGTCCCTTCTGACAACGTGACCAAAGTACAAGAGACGATGTCTGGCCATTATTGCTTCTAAGGAGCATTCTGGTTGTACTTCTTCCAAGACTCATTTGTTCATTTTTGTGGCAGTCCATGGTATATTCAGTATTCCTCACCAACACCACAATTCAAATGCATCAATTCTGTGCTCTTCCTTATTCATTTTCTAGCTATTACATGCATATGAGGCTATTAAAAATACCATGGCTTGGTCAGGTGCAACTTACATCTCCAAAGTGACATCCCTGTCAGTATACTGTGGCAACCACTTTTGAATTATTTTCAGCAAAATTTTAAGGGTAGTCAAATATAATTTTGGTAACTTTGAGATCACAGGAAGGTGCACAGAAAAATATAATTGCAAGGCTGCCTTGAATCTTCTATTATGTGGCTGTGTACATGTGTGTGCCTGTTAGTATGTGCACAAGCATGTTATGTTCTTCCCCAGGAGAAAAGAGAAATGGTTTGACGTGGAGTATTGCTGGTAAAACTTGTATAAAATTAAGCTATCTTACAATTTTTAAAAAATACGATGAACCTTCTGTTTTAGCAAAAGAAGGATCATACTTGGTTAAATTCTCTTAAACCTTATGTAGATTTGTTTGTTGAGGGAGAGCGTGGTATCCCCAGGGAGAGAGGGACACTGTCCTCTGGTTTCAGATTGAGCACACAGCTTAGGGGGAGCAGTCTCTTGAGGTTCAGTCTTCTGCTACTTCTATATCCCTTATCCTTCTGGTCTCCTTGCTCAGAGTGACAGAGCCTACCTACTTTTGCCTGCCCCAGATGCTGGCAGTTATGACTTCTGTCTGCTCTGGCCAAATATTCTTCCTTTCTAGGAACAGATGTTTCTACAAAGTAAATATTATTGACCCTGCTTGGCTCCTTGCTGTGTCTTGCACTGCCTGAACATGAAACAGTGAGGTTATGTGAGCAGTGTGCCACAGAGCTTGGCATGCACCCAGCAGGTACCAGCCTCTCCTCTCCTCTCTTACTGGAACATGCATTTTAGATTCCGGTGTGCATCTGAGTGAAAGCTCAACAAAGAAACCCTTGGGAAGCTGCATATCCAAGGTGAAAATCTATGTAAAAGTCCACTTACCCTTGTGGATTGAAATAGCAGGAAGCAATGGCTTTTGGGTATTCTCTTTTTGGTTATCCTCAGTAACGGGAGTTTATGTTAATGGGATGAGGCAGCATAGTGTTTCCATATGTTATAAGGTCTCAGTGTAGAGGACTTGGGATCAAACCACAGTGGCTTCCTTAGTGGCTGTGTGCTTGCTGTTAGGTCAGTGATTTACTTCTCTGTTCTTTAAACACAGGTAGTCATGCTAACTACAACTCCCCAGGTCCTGGTATTAGAGTCATATATTAGGAAAGAATAGCCCAGCCTTGCCTACCTACAGCTGAACCTTACGGTGTACAGAGTGCTCATCCAGATAGTGCATCTCACTGGGTTCTCATGAAAGTCCTGTGACTTAGATAGGGCTGACACCTTCTGATAGATGCTATAACTTGGACTTTGTGACTGCCCAAAGTTAGTTGCATATCTGGTTAGTGGTGGAGCTGAAACTTGAACCCAGGAGATAGTGGGGTGGGGTGGAGTGAAGGCAAGGTTTAGGAAGGGGTGGATTAGCCTAGAACCAGAACCCCATGGGATACAAGTGAGAAAGGGACATTCTCCAAAAGCAGGCTGAGAATGCTTTTCCCAAAGATTGGGGAATGGATTTTGAGCAAGCGTCTGTCAGGCCCATGGTGAGTTCCTTTTCAGGTTCCAGTATTTGGGATTCTACCTCTGCCCTGTTGTCCTTACTGGCCTACAGCTTAGTATTTGACTCCATAGCAATACTCATTACTCAGGATTGGCCTCTTTATCAGCTTCATGGGGCCCACATTGTTTCTCAGGTTTGAGTCGTGGCAGGGTACACTGCGTGCTCCCAGACAATGCAATCAGGTTACCCTCTGGTCACAAGGTAAGAGACCTGGGCCTGGTTCAATGTGTCCTGCCTATGTCCTCCTGTGAAAAGGCCCCACAAAGACTCTGTTGTACATTGTTAGCCACTCCTTGATCCTCATTGGCAGCTGTGCCATGGCAGCACAGCTTTTTAGGTGGCGCTTTTGCAGGCCGGGAGCTTTCCCAAGCTGATCTTACATTTCACCTTTTTTTTTTTTTTTCTTTCACATTGTTGAGACAGTTGCCCAGCTTGAGTCTTTCTTGCCCTATTGGAGAGGCATAGGAAGACAGGTAGGTAGAACGGAAACAGAACTGTTTTTACTCTCTGCCTAGGCCTTCCTTTCTGAGTTCTGACCTGGGGGGTGGGCATTCTGGCTAAAATAAATATGTTTGCAACCATAGTCACATTGGGTACACACTTTGGGGCTTTTGAAGGGGTGTATTTTCTACTCTGAAATATTGTTCTCTCTCTTCTTCCTCCTGCCTGCAACCTCTTTTCTCCTTCTTTCCACAGGGTCCTGACTTTCAAATTCATCAATTTTTGTCTTAACTTGCATGGGAGTGACTTGTGTTCTGAGGGATCTCCTCAGCTTGGGCTGGTCAGTTTTGAGAGATGCCTTATTTCCCTGCCAGCATTGTTTCACTTTTTGGCAAAGACCGTTGCATTAAAGTGGTGGAACCAGGGAGACGGGGGAGACTATTGGTTTTACTGCTCCTGTGTTCTCCTTTTCTACTCCTGAGTGCCTTCCTCTTTGAGTGTGGAGTAGACTACCTTGCCCAAGTCCCAGCTAGCTGGAACTTATGTCATCAGAGCTCGTGGGAGGGCAGTTCAGGAGCAGGGCCTCCTGGTCCCCCAGTAATAGTCTGAGCCCAGGACAGCCAGGTCTGCTCCTCCACTAGCGGCCACTACTTGGAATGAACATTGGGATTGGAGCGCCGAGCACTGGGCTTAGATATGTACACAGTGTACCACATACTCATTTATTCAGCACACACTGAGCGGGAAGCACTGCCAGGTGTGCAAAGAGGAGAAAATACAAAACCAAAAGATGAAAGACATGCCTCCTAACCTCAAGGTACGAGTCTGAAAACTGAAAAAAAGAACTGCTGTGCTCATGGATGCTTTTATTCCAATAGGATAGGTTGGTCTCTGAAGCCAGGATATCTTTTTTTTTTTTTTCCCCCTTCTTTTCAAGTCCAAAATATCTTATTAAAGCCAGGCCTTGTTACTAGTTATGCCTCATATTTCCCTCCTCTGGGAATTTGAACATAATGCCATTTCCCCTTCAGTGTGGGCAGCGTGTATGAGGGTAATTTGAATGATTAGCCTAATCCGCAGGAAAGCTGCACAAAGAATTCAGTTAAGCACATTTGTACTGAGCAGCAGTGTCTGTCAGGCCACTTAAAGGTACCTGGGTGGTTTTATACTCTTAACGGGAGCTGAGAGCTCATGAAGGATCATTGGCTTTTATTACTATATTAAATGAAAGCTTATTTTTCATATTTGACAAGGACCTCAGAGAGTTTTCTTTATAGATACCATGTGTGGGGTTTGGTTTTGCCCCAACCCCAAACATTGCCAAAGCTTTGTTCAGTGGTGGTGGTAGAATGTGACAACCTAGGGAAATTGTTCAGGCAGAAACTTGTCAGACTGTCCGGCCACTCTGCTCTTGAGGAGAGTTGGGGAGGGTTCTGAGAACTGTACTTGGGTTGACAGAGGAAGTCAGTGGTCTTATGCCGTCGGGGTAGAGCTTTCCTGGGCTCCTTACCTAATGTCAGTTTGTCTTGTGGAGCTGGACATGTAACTGTGGAGTCATTTCTGACTCATGGCAACCCCATGTGTGTCTCAGAGTAGAACTGTGCTCCATAGGGTTTTAAGTGGCTGATTTTTCAGACATAGGTTACTAGGCTTTTCTTCCTAGGTCCCTCTGGATGGACCCAAACCTCCAGCATTTGGTTAGCAGCTTTGTATTAATCATTTGCACCACCTGCACGTAAGGAGCTTTGATGGCACTATGGTTAAGGTGTTGGGCTGCTAACCAGAAGGTAGGCAGTCAAACCCACCAGCTGTTCCATGGGAGGAAGATGAGGCAATCTACTTCTGTAAAGAGTTATAGTCTTGGAAACCCAATAGGGGTCACTATGAGTTGGAATTAATTCGATAGCAGTGGGTTTGTTTTTTATTTTGGACATAGGGGAAGGTATTGTTGAGATACAGGGGCACCTACACTGACCACATGGAAGGCCATAGGCTGACTGGATCTGCAGGGCTATGGAGCCTGGTACGGGATCTGACCTAGGCTCCTCCTTGACCTCCTTAGGCAAATGGATTCCCACATGTGTTAAATGGGCTCAAGTTGTAGCTTGAGGAATTATAAGTATGACAAGAATTGTTAAAGTAAATGTAACAAATTAACATCTTAAGCAGATGAGCACTTGATGTTATACGTGAATATTTATCATAATTCTACTACTGTATGTGTATGTGTGTATGCATATGTATATTTTATACTTTGAAATGGACTCAGGAACAGATCTGCTAGCTGCTACATTAATAAAAGAATTTTTTAAAAAACTGATCAAATATGAAAGCCACTTTATTTCGGTAATCTATGTTTTTTGCCCTCTTGTTCTTTCTAGATTTGTCTTCAGCAAAGCGGAAATTTGCAGACTCTTTAAATGAATTTAAATTTCAGTGCATTGGAGATGCAGAAACGGATGACGAAATGTGTATAGGTAGGCCCTAATCTTCCTTAAGATAAACAAATTCATTGTTCATCACAACTCTCAATGTCGTAGCAGGACCTTTTTCCTGGGAAAGGAAGTAGCTGAGGGTAGTAAATAAAGATGTCCACAATATAGGGGTGGAGGAGCAGAGTTATGTGAGGATCAGAAGCCTGAGATATTCTGAGCTTCTCCCCAGAGTCTGGGGTTTCCTTACTCACTCTCTGGCCTGTAAGAGAAAACCTGAGATTTTGCAGTGAGACTCTACTCTCTGCCTTCCTTTAGCTTTCCTGTTCTGACTGATTTTGTGATATTCCTTCCTCCTGCTTCTGACACAGAACTAAGAATACAGAGCAAAGGCAAAATGCAGGTAGATGAGGGAAGAATTAGATCAGAGATTGTAAAATGGTAAGTTATGGGCTGGGATCAGAGTTCATCCATGCTTTGTTTGGCTCTCAGTTTTTGTTTTCGATCTAATTACCATGTAAATGGTATTTATATAAAATTCCAGTTTTGTAGCTTTTTGCAAACTTGGAGACTATGAACAAAGGTCTCACATTGTGGCATGGCAATAGTTGGCTGGAGATTTTTATCTGCTGCTGCTGCTTTCAGGTGGGGTGTGATCTCAGTTTACTCTGGTACCCACCCTCTCCCTTTTATTTCCTCATCAGAGAGGCTGAGGGTGGGTTACCATTTATCACCAAACCTGAGCTGTTTGACTCCTCACCCTCATCACCTTCCTGTCTTCTGTAGGCATCCCTGAGCTCAGAGGATTTTCGATGTCAAGACATGTATCTCTGCCAGGCCTTAGTCATTATACCTTATTCTTTTTACCTGGGTCATCTTGGTAGACTCCATTACATGAGCAGGAGTTGATAAAGTTATATTGAATTACTTGTCTGTCAGTTTGTCATACTGTGGTGGCTTGTGTGTTGCTGTGAGGCTAGAGGCTATGCCACTGGTATTTCAAATACCAGCAGGGTTATCTATGGTGGACAGGTTTCAGTGGAGCTTCCAGACTAAGACAGACTGGGAAGAAGGAAAGGGCCATCCACTTCTCAAAGTATTGGCAGTGAAAACCTTATGAATAGCAGTGAAGCACTGTCTGGTATGTTGCTGGAAAGCTTTATGAATAGCCCTGAAACATTGTCCGATATAGTGCTGGAAGATGAGCCCCTCACATTGGAAGGCACTCAAAATATGACTGGGGAAGAGCTGCCTTCTCACAGTAGAAGTCAACATTAATGACATGGATGTAAGTAAAGCTTTTAGGCCCTCCATGTGCTGATGTGGCATGACTCAAAATGGGAAGAAACAGCTGCAAACATCCTTTAATAATTGGAACATGGAATGTATAAAGTATGAATCTAGGAAAATTGTAAGTTGTCCAAAATGAAATGGAATGCATAAAGATTGATATCCTAGGCTTTAGTGAGCTGAAATGGACTGGTTTTGGCTATTTTGAATCAAACAACCATGTGATCTACTGATGGGAATGACAAATCGAAGAGGAATGATGTGGCATTCATTTCACAAAGACTGTGTCAAGATCTATCATGAAGTACAATACTATCAGTGATAGGATAATATCCATATGTCTACAAGGAAGACCAGTTAATATTGCTATCATTCAAATTTAGGCACCAACCACCAAAGCCAAAGATGAGGAAATTGAAGATTTTTACCAACTTCTGCAGTCTGAAATTGACCTAATCTGCAATGAAGATGTGTTAATTATTAGTGGTGATTAGAATGCGAAAGTTGGAGAAAAAGAAGAATCACCAGTAGTTGTGAAATAGGGCTTTGACAATAGAAATGGAGCTGCAGATCGCATAATAGAATTTTGCAAGACCAGTGACTTATTTGTTGCAAATACCTTTTTCAACAATATAAATAGCAGCTATACACTTGGACATCACCAGATGGAATACACAAGAATCAGATCGGCTACATCTGTGGGAAGAGGTGACGGAGAAGCTCATATATCTTCAGCCAAAACAAGGCCAGGAGCTGATTGTGGAACAAACCATCAGTGGCTTATATGTAAGTTCAAGTTGAAATTAAAGAAAATTAAAACAAGTCCACAAGAGCCAACAAATGACCTTGATTATATCTCACCTGAATGTAGAGACTATCTGAAGAATAGATTTGACTCATTGAACACCAGTGACCAAAAATCAGATGGATTGTGGAATCCCATCAAGAACATCATAAAGGAAAGAAGCAAAAGGTCATTAAAAAGACAAGAAAGGAAGAAAAGACCAAAAGATCAAAATGTCTCTGTCAGGTACTCTGAAACTTGCTCTTGAATGGAGAGTAGCTAAAGCAAATGGAAGAGATGACAAGATAAAAGAGCTGAACAGAAGATTTCAAAGAGCAGCTGGAGAACACGAAGTCAATTAATACAATGAAATGTGCAAAGACCTGGAGTTCGAAAGCCAAAAGGGAAGAACATGCTCAGTATTTCTCAAGCTGAAAGAACTGAAGAAAACACTCAAACCTCGAGTTGCAATACTGAAGCATTCTAATACTGAATGGTTCAGGAAACATCAAAAGAAGATGGAAGGAATACACAGAATCACTGTACCAAAAAGAATTGGTCGATGTTCATCCATTTTAGGAGGTGACATATGATCAAGAACCAATAGCAGTGAAGGAAGAAGTCAAAGCTGCACTGAAGGAACTGGTGAAGAACAAGGCTCCAGGAATTGTTGGAATACCCATTGAGCTCCTTCAACAAATGGATGCCGCACTAGAGGCATTTACTTGTCTATACTTAGAAATCTGGAAGATAGCTACCTGGCCAACTGATTGGAAGAGATCCATATTTGTACCTATTCCAAAGAAAGGTGATCCAACAGAATGTGGAAATTATTGAACAATATTATTAATATCACATGCAAGGAAAATCTTGCAGATGATAATTCAAAAATGGTAGCAGCAGTATATTGACAAGGAACTCCCAGAAATGCAAGCTGGATTCAGAAGAGGTTGTGGAACAAGGGATATCATTACTGATACTATACGGATCTTGGCTGAAAGGAAAGAATACTAGAAAGATATTTACTTGTGTTTTATTGACTATGCAAAAGTGTTCGACTATGTGGATCATAACAAATTGTGGATAACATTGAGAAGAATGTTGTGTTAATTGTGCTCACAAAGAACCTGTACATAGACCAGAAGGCTGTCATTCAAATAGAATAAGAGGGTACTGCATAATTTAAAATCAGGAAGGGAGTGCATCAGGGTTGTATCCTTTTGCCATATTTATTCAATCTGTATGCTGAGCAAATAATCTGAGAAGCTGTACTATATGATGAAGAATGTGGCATCAGGATTAGAGGAAGACTTGTTAACAACCTGCTGTATGCAGATGACACAGCCTTGCTTGCTGAAAGTGAAGATGAATTGAAGCACTTACTGATGAAGATGAAAGACTATAGTATGCAGTATGGATTGCACCTCAATATAAAGAAAACAAAAATCCTTCACAACTGGACCAATAAGCAGCATCATGATAAATGGAGAAACGATTGCAGTTGTCAAGGATTTCATATTACTTGGTTCTACAATCAACACCAACGGAAGCAGCAGTTGAGAAATCAGACAAAGTGTTGCACTGGGCAAATCTGTTACAAAAGACCTGTTTAAAGTTCTCAAGAGCAAAGATGTCTCTTTGAAGACTAAGGTGTGCCTCACCCAAGCCTTAGTATTTTCCATAGCCTCATAATGCATGTGAAAGCTGGCCAGTGAGTAACAAAGACTGAAGAAGAGTTGATGCCTTTGAATTGTGGTGGTGAAGAATACTGAAAGTGCCATAGACTGCCAAAAAACTAACAAATCTGTCCTGGAAGAAGTGTAGCCAGAATGCTCCTTGGAAGCAGGAATGGCCAGACTTTGTTTCACCTACTTTGGTCATGTTGGCAGAAGAGACCATTCCCTGGAGAAGGCTGTCATGCTTGGTCAATGAAAAAGGGGAACACCCTGAACAAGATGGATTGACACAGTGGCTGCAGTGATGAGCTCAGGTATAGCAGGGATTGTGAGGCTGGTGCAGGATCAGGCAGTGTTTTGTTCTGTTGTACATAGAGTTGCTATGAGTCGGAGCTGACTTGATAGCACCTAACAACAACAACAGCATCATATTCAATTAATAAACATATCAAATGTTTGTTGAGTCCCTGTTGCCAGACACAGTGGCTAGGCTCTGGGGATGAGCAAAGGCAGTTAGGAGACAGCTGGAAGCAGTGAGAATGCATTAGTGTTTAACTCCTGGATGTCTGGAAGCTTTTCACAGTGTTTTGTCAGTGTCCTGGTATCCGCTGGGGTATTAAACTTGATGCCTATTGCCTTTGCAAATAATTCTGGTGAGGGATACTCCAGCTCTGACCCCCATGCTCCAAGCTGCCTTTTATTAGTAAAGTGACTTGGGGACTCAGAGGAGGAACCCAAAGAGAAGTCACAGACATGGCTTGTGGTGCCAGCAGCACTATTTGTTTAGATCTGGTGCCAAAGAAACGGTTGGGTTCTGACGCAGCCCCACAACAAAGATTGAGGTCAAATCCTGGACAGGAAATCCTTTAAGTCTTAAGCGGAACTCTGCCCCTTCCAGCCCAGGGCCTGGGAGCGTGCCAGCAACTCACTAGTCCTAGGTACTCTCAGGAATAGGCAGGTCTTTCCTTTGAAGAAATTCTTACCTAGCTAGAGTGCCAGGTGGGATTAGCCTGTACTTCAGGGCCATCCTTAGTGGTTAATGATTCAAAGATAAGGGGAGCCTTGGGAAGCAACTGACGTCAGGCTTCTGCCTGTGCCAAGGGATTTAAATCCAAAACATAATGGCTGGGGCTTAAGGCTCCCAGAGGCCCATTGCTCTCCTTCCACTTCATGGCCCCTTTCTCTTTTCCAGCAAGGTCTTTGCAAGAGTTTGCCACCGTGCTCAGGAATCTTGAAGATGAACGGATACGGATGGTGAGTATGGCTTGGCTGGTCTTGGTCTGAGACAGTATGGTCATGTCAAAGGGGGAAGGGATTTGTTAGAAGAACTGGATTTGAGTCCAGGCTCTGCTGCTTGAGTGCACGCAAGACTCCTAGTCTCTGGACTGTAGTTTTCCCACCTCTGAAGTGGGCATCTTAACATCTGCTTTGCACAGTTTGGAATCTTTAATAAGCAGTAAAGGGTTACTTTGAGTAATTTTAGAATGGCATTGTTGTTCTCCTAAAGATTCACTATCAAGATATATACATAAGGTATATGATTGAAAGGTGGACCTTTGAATTATTTAATTTTATTTTGAGCCTTAGGAAAGGTGGATTGCCCAATAAGCACTACAGATTAGGAAGTAAGCACAAGTAAGCCCATGCTTACCTTGCTTACTGGGTATTCCTTTCCTGTCAGGGAATGTAAATTTGAAAAAAGACTTTGATTCTGTAGAAAGGAGCTATGATGTTGAGAGAGAGGCAGATGCCAGCCATACCTAGAAGCAGAATCTTTGATGTGGTGAAAAAATACATAGTTGTTTACTACAGATTAGTAAGTAAGCACAAGTAAGCCTGTGCTTACCTTGCTTATTGGGTAATCCAACACTGGGCCTCAGATTCCTTCCTGGCAGGACAGGAATAAGGTGGCCTTGTCTGCCCTCCCCGCGGCCCTGCCCCAATTAAACCTGCCTAAGAGCTGTTTGAGGTCAGAAGTCACTTCTTACTTTACTTTTAATTCCAAAGCACCTAAAACAGTCTTTGCTATGTAATAGGTGCCCACTAAAAGGGTACTTAGTAAATTAAGGTAACTCCTAAGAAGGTCTTCAAAGAGAGCCATTGTGTACATTTAAGAATCAAATGCAGATCTTCGTAGAGATACCTTTTGTACTAGGATCTGTTCTGATATGGTCCAGTGTTAATGGATGAGAGATTCCTCATCCACAGGAAGTTCTTTTATATCATCCCCCAAATCTCTAAGACGTTGGGGGTGAAGACTGTTTTGAGATGCTCTGTGTGGCTGCACATTCACTGGTGCCTAGGAAGGCTTGTCTCCAGACAGCAGTGCTCCAAAGGCCCAAGGAGAAATCTGTCAATGCCATTTTTCATACTAATGGCTGACACTTTGAGCACATACTTCTGCCAATATATTATGCAGCCAAGTGTTTCATATACATTTTTCTCTTTGAATCCTCACAGTGGGTCTGTGAGGTGTTGCCTATATCATCCCCATTTCCCAGATTCAGAAACTGAGGTTTTCAGAGGTTTAAGTAACTTGCCCAAGGTCATACAGTTCATAAATGGCACAGTCTGGATTCAAACCCAAGCCTGCATTATGCCAAAGGATGTGGGAATTTCCTTAAATTTCCAAATAGAATAGAAGCCTTTTGCCCTGCAGGGAGAGAGATGGAGAGCCCTACTTCCCTGTTTGCTCACTGCTGGTTAGTTGAGGAGTGTGGTGGCAGCAGTGGCGTGGTCGTGGGGGTTGAAGGCAGGGGAAAGTGTATATATTTGTGCACGTGCTGATGCCTGAGAGAGGGAAGTGATTCTTTAGAGCCTGATTCTTGGCTGAGTCAGTGTTTGGGGGTGGGGGGGTAAGGGGTGTGGTGAGCAAATCGCGATGAATAAATACCCTGCAGATTACTGTGGCCTGTGGTAAGGGAACAATGGCTGGATTATGCTTTTCAGCTTGCCTCTGCAATTTTATTATTAATGTCAGTGAATCAAGTTTCTCCTGTCTGCATCTGGGTATCTGGCCACCACAAGCTCCTTCCCTACCTCCTCGCCCTGTGACAGTTTTTCATTATCCATTCAGCTCTGCCATACCTTCTTTGGGAAGCCTTCTCTGACTCCCTTGGAGATATTTGGGCTTCCTTTTTATTTTGTGGTACAAACAGTTAACATGCTTGGCTGCTAACCAGAAGGTAGGAGATTTAAGTCTACTCAGAGGTGCCTTGGAAGAAAAGCTTGGCAGTCTGTTTCTGAAAACCCTATGGATGGAACACATTGGTGCTCTTGACACACACGGGCTCACCATGAACAGAGTTGACTTGATGACAACTGGCTTGGTTCTGTTTTCTTAATATCCAGTTCATGCCTCTGATTCTGTGTTTACCACATTGTGTCCTGATAATCACTGAACTGTTTCCCATAGTAAATGTGAGTTCCTCAAGGGCAGAGAATGTGCTTCTGTGTTTCCAGCATCCACCATAGCCCTTAGAACTGAGTGGTCATTATACAGTTAGAGCATCTGAGACCCAGAGGGGTCTTATGCATCACCATCTGCAAACTGTCGTTTGACAGAGGAGAAAACTGAGGCCTTGTCAGTTAAGGCTGATAGCAAATGGTAGCAGGACTAAGACAAAGACTTGGGTGTCCTGATTCCCAGGTGAGCATCTGAATACAACTCTTCAAGCTCAATGGAATAACTTGGAGAGTTTACAGAATGCTGATGTCTGAGAAAAGGCCAGAGATTCTGATTTAATTGGTCTGCAGTATGCCTTACGCAGTGGGATTGTTAAAAACTCCCAGGTGATTCTAATGTGTAGGTAGGATTGAGAACCACTGACTTAGGGACCTAGCACACCATTATGAACTTTGGAGACTTATGGTTGATTTGTGGAAAAGATTTAAGTAAACCAGTTGTTGTTGTTGTTGTTATGTGCCGTTGAGTCAAACCTGAGTCATAGTGACCCCTCCTTGGGTTTCTGAGGTGGTATCACTACAGAAGTAGATTGCCCAACCTTCCTTCCGAGGAGTGGCTGGTGGGTTGAACCACCAGCCTTCTGGTTAGCAGTCAAGTGTCTTAGGCACTATGCTACCAGAGCTCCTAAGTAAACCAGTTAGGGAGCATCAAATAATAAAAATCAAACAAGTTGCAACACTCTAGGGTTAAAATGAGCTCTTCTGAAATAAAGTGCTCTCAGATTTGGGAAAATGGCAAATGGGAATGAAGCTGGAGACCTGCCTTCTTCTGTCCCTCGCATTGCCCACTCAATCCTTTGCTGTATCTGTCTGGATTTTTGGCATTCTTTCTGTTGGTTTCATTGTAGTGGACATGCATATGATTTCAAAAATAATGTTTTTGGGACAAGATTTCTGAAATAATTAGTTGAGCAAAGAGAGAGCGATGAATGACATTAAAGATTATTAAATATTGTACTGCCCTAGAAAAGACCATGGAATCTTAGAGCTGAAACAGTGCAGCCCACTCATTTTGCAAGTGAGGAAATTAGAGCCCAGAGAGGTTAAATATTTTGCCCATGGTCACACAGTTGGCAGAAGATTAAAAATCATTAATTCATTGATTTAGTGATTAAAAAATTTCTGAGAGTTCCATTGTTCCAGCACTCTCCGGTGTTCTTGGGGACAGATATAGATAGGTGTAATGGTGAGCAATAAAATTGCAGTTGGTATATGTTCTGAAGGAAACACTTGGTAGGGTGGTAGGGAGCTTGTTTGGATTGCATTGGTAGTCAGTGAAAGCTTCCCTAAGGTGACCTTTAAACGGAAACTTTATAGTAAGGAGCCAGACAGGTAGTATCAGAAGGCACAAGATGTCTTGACCCCAGTCCAGACCTGGTAGGACAACATAAGATTGAGCTTAGAAGGTTTGTAATGTGACCAGATTTCCAATGTGCTTTGTTTTTGTTTGTTTGCTTTTAACCTAGGCTAAGGGTTGAGCTACTTTTAATATAACTTAGGTGAATGTGAATTGGAAAGAAGTTGTCACCTGATACTTTTAAGTTTAGTCTCTAGTCTGTCCCTAGTTCCCCTCTGCTTTCAGATATTTGCTGAGGTTTTTGTTGCTGTTAGGTGCCTTTGAGTTGGTTCCAACTCATAGTGACCTTATGTACAACAGAACTCAACACTGCTTGGTCCTGCTCCATTCTCAAAATTGTTGCTGTGTTGGACTCCATTGTCACAGCCACTATGTCAATTCATCTTGTTGAGGGGCTTCTTTTTTCCCTGATCCTCTACATGATATCTTTCTCAGAGACTGGTTCCTCTTGATAACATGACCAAAGTACAAGAGATGAAGTCTCACCATCCTTGCTTCTAAGGAGCATTCTGGCTGTACTTTTTCCAAGACAGATTTTCTCGTTCTCCCAGCACTCCATGGTAATTCAGTATTCTTCACCAACACCATATTGAAGTGCATCAGTGTTTCTTCAGTCTTCCTTATCCACTATCTAACTTTTACATGCATAGGAGGTGATTCAAAATACCATGGTTTGGGTCGGGTGCATGGCTTGTGCAAAAACGGCAAGGAGGCCACATGTTCTGACCTCCTGTAATCCCACGAGAGGAAGACAGGATTACCAGCAGTAACCCAAGGCTTATTACTGCAAGGCCAGACATGCTGCCTCCCTCCAGCCCTTTCACCAACCGTTCCTCCCAAAGCACCTACCACCTCTCTCCTGGATTCGATAATTCGCTGCAGTGGCCACACACAGCTCACAGATTATGGGGTTTATTAGGGAAGCACCACAGGCTACAATTCTGGTTCAGGAAAAGTGCTCAGTCTCTCTTCCAGCCCACTGTCCCTCAGCCAAGAGTCTCTCACAGTCTCTTTCCCAGCAGTGCTGGTCCCTCGGTGTCTCACTCAGCAATGCGTGCCTCTTGCATCTCTTTCCCAGCAACGTGTGTCTCAGGAGCCCGTATCTCTTTCAGCAGCACGTCTTCCTCAACCAGCAGTCAGAGAGTTCTGCCTCTAGGAGGCCTCCTTTTGAGCCCGGCAGGGTGGTCAAACTAGCCAATCATATCATCAGAACTCTAAGCACCTGAGAGAGAGTGGGTAGCTCCCAGAACATTGTTTTGTGCCACTCCCAACAGAAATACTCCAGGTGGACAACTTCAGCAATCAAGAGCTCCTCACCTGCTCATAGAAAATCCCACCTTGGAGTTTACAGAGACTTATGGGTAGAAAAGCCACATAAAGTAATTTGCTACACCACAGCTTGGGTCTTCAAGGTGTGACATCTTTGCTTTTTTTTTTAACACTTTAAAGAGTTCTTTTACAGCACATTTGCCCAGTGCAGTGTCATTTGGTTTCTTGACCTGCTACTTCCCTAGGCAGTGATTGTGGATCCAAGTAAAATGAAATCCTTGACAACCTCAGTCCTTTCTCCATTTCTCATGATGTTGCTTATCGGTCAAGTTGTAAGGATTTTTGCTTTCCTTTTGTTGAGGTGTAATCCATACTGAAAGCTGTGTAGTCTTTGATCTTTATCAGTAGTGCTTCAAGTCCTCTTCACTTTCAGCAAGGTTGTGTCATCTGCATGTTGCAGGTTGTTAATGAGTCTTCCTCCAGTTCTGATGCTGCATTCTTCATATAGTTCAGCTTCTTGGATTATTTGCTCAGTGTTTTGGTTCTCTAGTGCTGCTCTAACAGAAAATACCACAGGTGGATGGCTTTAACAAACAGGGATTTATTCTCTTGAACTATTCAGGAGGCTGTAAGCTCTGGGAGCATAGTGACTAAGACACTCGCCTGCTAACCAGATGGCTGGCGGTTCAAACCCACCAGCCACTCCTTGGAAGGACGGTTGGGCAGTCCTACTTCCGTAGTGATATTGCCTCAGAAACCCAAGGAGGGGTCGCTATGAGTTGGGTTTGAGTCGACGGCACATAACAACAACAACAAAGTCTCAGTTAAAAGTGCCAAGCTCTAGGGGCTGGGTGAAAGCCCCTTGACCTTGAACTTTAGCTTTGCCTCTGGCCCACTGGAGCTAGAGATGTCTCTTTACTCAGGCAGCTCCTGGCTGTTCAGACTAAAGCCCAAGGTTGACAAATAAAATGGCACAGTCCCAGTATTACCAAACAACATGGTAGGCAACTAGTTCAAGTCCAGAGACAGTTCCAGGATTGGCAGAAACATGGCAGGCTGCTAAATGAAGACTTGGCTACATGCAGGGTCCAAGTGTGCCAAAAAGCTGCAGAGACCCTTCTCAAAACTTCTCCTTTTATCCTGGAAGCAGACCACATCCCTAAAGCAGCTACTTAGCTGCTCCAGTAGATTCCACCATGGAGTTGGTTACCAGTCTCATCATGGGAAATAACTACATCCAGCTGCTCAGCCACTCAAAACCAGGCCTAGCTGAGTTGTCATAACCTTAACTACCATACTCAGCACACACTGACGGATACCCTTCCTGATTTTAACCACACAGTATCCCCTTGTTCTGTTTGAGACTGAGATTTTTAGAGTTCCTCATTTTTATCTTTAGAGAATCATTATTAATCATGCCCAAAAGGAACTGATGACTAGACTTTGAATTGATAAACTATTAGTTTAAGTGTTGTGAGCAGTTTACACATGCACAGCCATGCTTACCTGAGTTTCATACTAAGATGCCACAGCTGTTGTACTTCTTTACTGATACTGCTTTTGTGTGGTCCCCCCCTCCCCCCACCATTTTTCTTCTCTAGATTGAGAATGCCAGTGAGGTGCTTATCACCCCCTTGGAGAAGTTTCGAAAGGAGCAAATTGGGGCTGCCAAGGTAAGAGTTCGGCAAAACCTTGTTCTTGGATTTTAGAATGGGATGTGTAGAAAATGCAACGGTAAGCCCACCTTGCTTCAATAAATCTTCTTGGGCGGATAAGCCTTAAGCCCAACTCATCTGTTATTCACAAGTGATTGAAGTTAGACTAGCTGAGTGGTCAACCCCATGAGCAATCATTCTAGTATTTTTTTATCTAATCACTTGGTGCTAATATGTAAATCATTCAAAAGTAGAAACAATTCCTGCTTTATGTTATTATTAGATTGCTGTGTGCTTGGTCTATTTTTCAAGAGAAACTGAAAGACCAGTGTTTTATGGGAAAGTTGTAAGTTTTGAAAAAATGTTGGAAAATAATTAAATTCATATTAAGTGTTGTGGAGGTAACAAATAATAAACAAAATCAACAAAAAACAACAACCATATCCTTAGCATTGCTTCAGGCCAGAGGTTACCATTTGTTATCACTGACCTAGAGTGGGTTGTAGCTAAAACTTTGTTGATTTTAATGGGTTGTTGAAACGTACTGCAAAGAGATTCTTGTTCATTTGTAAAAGGTAAAAGATTAAAGTGTATTCTCCAGGGTTCCTCTGCTCTGTGGTAAATCACGGGGAAACTTCTCAGCCAGTTTGACCTTCATTCAGTACTATGTTAGAGGCCACCTGCAGGGAAGACATTTTCATTGGAGTTAGTGACAGCAAAAGGATTTTGAAGGTTTTCTGCCTGTTTTTCCAGAATTGTGAGTCGATTTGGCTGCAGTCCTTTGTGCCACCTGCAGGAAGTTTTGGGTAATATCACCTTATTAACTTTTTAGATGATAAGGATTTTACACCTACTCCTGGTGGTAGCATAGCTCTGGTAGAAGGCTGGCAGTTCAAACCCACCAGCCACTCCTTGGAAGGAAGGTTGGGCAATCTACTTCCGTAGTGATACTTCTCGGCAACCTAAGGAGGGGTCACTATGAGTCGGGGCCGACTCAACGGCACATAACAACAACAACAACCTCGTGGTGTAGTGCCTAAGGCATTTGACTGCTAACCAGAAGGCTGGTGGTTCAAACCCCCCAACCACTCCTCAGAAGGAAGATTGGGCAGTCTACTTCTGTAGTGATACCACCTCAGAAGCTGAAGTGGGGGTTGCTGTAAGTTAGAACTGACTTGACGGCAGTGAGTTTGGTTTATTTTTTTAGTCTTCACATATCCACTATTTCATTATCTGACATTTTACATTTATGACAATAATACAAAATCTACTATATGACTGTCTTGTGCATTAATGACATATGTCTGTCTGATAATAAACGCTGAGGTGTAAAATGAGGCTAACACTGTTCGTGATGATTAAGATTATGTGTCAACTTGGCTGAGCCATAATTCTCAGTGGTTTGGCAGTTATGTAGTTATGTAATTTGGCAATTATGGAACAATGTAGTCATCTTCTTTTTTGTGATCTGATGTGATCATCCTCTATTTTCACATAATTTTCATATAACAACCTGGTCTTTGGGACCTAACCAGGTTGATAAGTCAATAGGGTATGTATACTCAGTTGTAAAATCATTTTGAAGAAGTGATTATAGGTGATAAAAAGATAGCTGAAATGTAATGAATTGAGCCCATCTCTCTCTCATCTAAGTACATTTACTTTCTGGGAACAGATAAGATTGAGACCCAAAAAAGATGACATTCACTCAGACATTCAGAGCGATGGTGGCCATAGTAAAGATTTTCTCCCATCCACAGCACTTTTATACCAATTTTACATTTACAAAGAATTTGGAGCTCGTTCTTTTTATATCAGAGATTAAGGAATGTGTAATTTAAAGGACGTCTGGTTCCACTAAGATTTTGTGCAAGACTTTGAACCATCGCAATGATGGCCAAACATATGCTATGATTGAACCTGTCTTGAGTTCTTGCTGATGCAGTCCCAGCTGAGCAGATCTTCCCTCTCTTGAGGCCTGCTCTTACCCACTCCTGAAAACACATGACAGTGGCTTCAAAGGTTATAAAAAGCTTTGTGACAGAGGAAGAGCAGGCCTACTTATTGAGTCATTTTTCCAGTAGTCACTTCTCCTTCCCACCGATGCCTCTTCAGCTGGCCTCTTCCCTCAGCACTAGTTTAAGGGTTACCACAGTTACCGTAGAGGAGGAACAGAAATCAGAGTGGTCTCCCTCTGGGTTTAATATCAGTAATCTTGGTGACAGAAGCAGACAGTTTTTGGAGGACAGGCTATAGATAGTGAAAAATATGAAAATAAAAGAATTTAAATAAAATAGCCACTCACCAAATCATGTTTCCTGTCATGCATACTGTTCTCTCATTCCCATTAATGAGTGATTGTGATGCTGTTTGGGATGATTTCTCAAATCTCCTTTGTCATCTCTTTTTTCTGTGTATCTGTTCCTCTCTCACATGCCCATAATTTATATCATGTTGTTGTGTGCCATTGAGTTGGTTCTGATTCCTAGTGACCCTACATGACAGAGTAGAACTGCCCCATAGGGTTTCCAAGGCTGCCTTCTTTACAAGAGTAAATCTCCAGGTCTGTCTTCTGTGGAGCCACTGGATGGGTTCAAAGCACTGACCTTGACTTTTTGCTTAACAGGTCAGTGCTTAACCATTGTGCCACCCATTTTAACCCCTCCTCCCCCACCCAAATCCATTAATGTTGAGTTGATTCCTACTCACAGTCACCCTATAGGACAGGTTAGAACTGCCCCATAGTGTTTCCAAAGCATTTACAGAAGCAGAGCCATATCTTGCTCCCACAGAGTGCTTTAACCACTGTGCCACCAGGGCGCCTTCAATTTAATCATAAAAAACCAACCCAGTCCACTGGCATCAAGTTGATTCTGACTCATAGTGACCCCCTTTGGGTTTCCAAGACTGTAAATCTTTACAGAAGTAGATTGCCTTATCTTCCTCCCATGGTGGGTTTGAATTGCCAGCCTTCTGGTAAGAGCCAAATGCCTTACAGACTGTGCTACCAGAGCTCCTTAATTTAATCATTGTTGTTGTTGTTGTTGTTGTTGTGCCGTCAAGTCAGCCCTGACTCATAGTGTTACGTAAATTTAGGAGAAAAGAAGCACAGAAACAACACTCTACTAGGCAATCTAGAGCTTAGTTTCAAGAATATGTAAGAGGCCAGCAAGTCTCTTCAGCTGTTTTTGGTTGCAGCTGAGTGGAAGCTTCTGAACTCTGCCTGTGTGATGCTAAAATTACTTTTTCTTCCTCCTCCTCCCCTCTCTGGTGCTGCTTTGGTTACTATAACAACCTGTTGCTGCTTGCTGGAAGCAGAAGTTAGTGTGCTTGCTGTGGAGGCTGCCAGGGAGGAGGACTCCTGGGCATTCTTGTGCTAATGTGGCTGCGGAGGAGTTGGGTACAATCCTGGAGCTTGGCATAACCATCGCCCGCTGTTTGAAGTTTTGAGTTTGGGGCAGTTGATTTTTCCTGTATTAGAAGTGCATTTAGAGATCTGGACTTTATAGTGAAAATTGAATAGACATGAGAGAGTAGTGCTTGAGAGTGTCCATAGAACTAGATGGTTCAAGTTCAGATCCCACTTCTGCTGTTTTTGTGTGTCAACTTGGGGAAGTTTACACTTCTCCAAAGCTGTTTTCTAATATGTAAAATGGGATAATGATGGTACTTATTTCATAGAGTTTTTATGTGGAAGAAGTAAGTGAACTTATATAAAGTGCTTTGAACACTTAGTGTTTGTCTTAGTTAGCAGTCATTTGATGTTAGCTGTTATATTAGATATACACAGTTGACACTTTAAAGAAATAGGTGAGAGGCTGTTCTGTGCCTGGCACTGCACTAGGCACTGGTAGATGGTGGAGAGCAAAGGCCAATGTGTTAGCTGTGCTTATGATGTGGTTGGGTAAAAAGACATTAGATGCATAGATATAAATAAACTCACATCATCAGATTGTGGTAGGTGCTTTGAAGGGTTACATGTACTGGGGTGTGGAAAACAAGTGATGTTCTTAATAAGAAAAAGGTAGGTATAGGTGATGAAACCTCATTATCGTTATCATAACCATCCTCACCACCACCACTGTCATTACTATCATCTGTATCACCACCATCCCCCATCACCACCCCATCATCACAGTGACTACCATCATTGTCATTGACAGTTATTGAACACTCTCTGTGCCAAGCAGTCTGCTGCTGTTGTTGTTGTTGTTATATGCTGTCGAGTCGGACCCGACTCATAGCGACCCCTCCTTGGGTTTCTGAGGCAATATCACTACGAAGTAGATTGCCCCATCTTCCTTCCGAGGAGTGGCTGGTGGGTTTGAACCGCCAGCCTTCTGCTTAGCAGTCCAATGCCTTAGGCACTATGCTACCAGAGCTCCCAAGCAGTCTGCTAGGCACTATATATGTTTTTCCACCACCCTCATTTAATACTAACAATCCTCTGAGGTAGGTGTTCTTAGTTCTGTTTTATTATACAATCTCTGAGCTGAAAGAAGAAACCTGAGCGATTATCTCTTCGAATCATCTTCAATTTATAGTTAAGGTAATTGGTTTTTAGAGAGGGATAGTGATTTGTTTATAGTCAATATTGTGACTATACATTCCAGGATGCTGACTCTCTGTCTATTATCCATTTAGCCACCCCACAGGAGACTTTCTAAACTCATTGCCATTGATTTCAATTCTGACTCACAGTGACCCGATAGGACAGAGTAAGACTGCTCCATAGGGTTTCCAAGGCTGTAAATATTTATGGAAGCAGACTGCATCATCTTCCTCCCATAGGGAAGCTGGTGGGTTTGAACTGCCAACAATTTGGTTAGCAGCTGAGCACTTTAACTGCCAGGACTCTTGAGTATTACCACTCTCTCATCTTAAGAGCATTATTTAAATCTTACTAGAGTTTTTCCTTTCAGAGGTCTTGCTGCCTTTTTTCTCAGGACGGAAACTGCTTCTCTTTCTTTTTAACTTTGGCTGTCCTCTTGAATGTGGAACATGGAATGTGGAGGGCTCGAGTTGACAGAATGTCATGGAATGTGACTTATGTTCCCTGTCCTTTTTTCCCTCTGACTAGCTGAACTGCCTAGCACCAGGGTTCTCCTTGGTGGGGTGCTGACAAGACTGATGGGAATGGGTATGTGAAAATTAATTGTAGTTGATACCCTAGCTCAAAGTGCTGGTTTCTGTAAAGGAAAAGTGTTGTTTGAATCAAGTGTCTTGCCTGTAGCCTTCCTCGAATTTGAAAGCATAATGTCTTCTCAGATAGACCTAGTGGTGCAATGGTTAAGCGCTTGGCTGCTAACCAAAAGGTTGGTGATTCAAACCCCTGGTTGCTCCATAGGAGAGAGATGAGGCAGTCTACTCCCATCAAGATTATAGCATTGGAGATTTTATGGGGAACAGTCCTGTTCTGTCCTATGAGAGGGTTGCTGTGAGTCGAAATTGATCAACCACAGTTGGTTAATGTCTTCTTAGACTTTGTTTCCACAAGTTTGTTTTTGAATATCATTTAAGCAAAAATTCAGATTTTTAGAAACAAATACATTTCAGTTATAATGGGTATGCGGTTATTTTGCCCACTCTGTGAAGATCCTGCTGTTGACTAGATATATGGTGTCTGGCACTGCAGGGAGTTTGCCAAGCATTCAGGTGATGACTTCTTGAGAGTTCTGTACCACGTTAAGCTTAGCATACTTTGCCCCAGGACATTTGCATTTGCTCTTGCCCTGGTCTGGAATACTACACTCTGCCCTTTGATGTGCTTGACAGGTCTTAACTCACATGTCCTCTTCTCATGGAGTCTATCCTGAGCATCCTATCTAAGGAATCTCTGTGACCACATCTTGTTTATTTCTTTGTAGTGCTTGTAGCCTGTAATTATGCTGTTTACTTATTTACTGGTTAATTTTGTTTCTCCTTCTACAAGAACATCCCTGCCATGGGAATAAGGACCACTTCTGTCTTGTATTTCCAGTACCAAAAGTTCAGTCTAACACAGTCGTTGTTCACTGAATATATGTTGAATGAATAAAAAGATGCCTCTGGCCTGCCTATGTGACTGGAGATTTTTTTCCTTTTATAGTTGGAATGGCAGGAAAATATCCCTCAGGGTTCCACAGGAATCAAAAGCAGGAATGATGTAGCTGATTAATAAATGTGATGCTGTTTATCAGACTAGTGATGGCATTCTTCCAGCTCCCTCACTTGCCATCCCCATAGGATAATGAAGGAAGAGAATCTGCCTGTGACAGTCTGTGTCAAGAGTGGTTGAGAGTATTGGCTTTGCAGGCAGATTGACCTGGGCTCAAATCCCAGCTTTGTCACTCTCTGAGTTGTTACAAGTTACTGACCTCCCTGGATCTCAGTTTTCTTATCAGAGGATGATAAATATCTAATGCCATGACATGGTGGGGGAGCAGGGCTTGATATATATATATCATCATAACTACATTATTTTTTATTTTGGAGGCAATAATGTATAATAGCAATTTCCCAAATGGAGGGAAAAATCACCCATTATCCCAATTCTTTAATACCTTTTCATTTTTTAAATATTATTTTAATTTTAATATTTTAATTTAAGTATGTTCCCATCTCAAATCTTTGTCTATATGTAGACACATTGTAAGAAGCTCTGGTAGTGTAATGGTTGAATGTTTGACTGCTAACCAAAAGGTTGGCTGTTAGAACTCACCAGCTGCCCTTTGGGAGAAAAGACTAGTAGGTGATCTGCTCCCATAAAGATTACAGCCTAAGAAACCCTATGGGACAGTCTGCTGTGTCCTGTAGGGTCGCTGTGAGTCAGAGTTGACTCAGCAGCATACTACAACAACAGACACTTTTTATGTGAGTTATACCCAAGTTTGTGTCATGGTTTTATTACTTTTCATTATACCATGAGCACTTTTCCATGTGACTCTATAGCCTTCCTAATTATTTTGATTGCATGTCCCATACTTTAATTACCTCAAGCCCTGTCCTTGGGCAGTGATGCTGCTTCTGTTGCTTTGCTGTTATAAATGGTGCTGCATTGAACAAGCTGTGTGGTGCATTCTTCTTTTGCATTATTCTTCACTTAAAGACCTAAATATCATGTTACTGTGTTAATATTTAGGTCCATATATTAAGAAGTACTTTTTAAACACTGTGAAGGCTGGATCTAGCCTTAGTCTACCAAACAAACAAACAAAAAACAAGCCCACTGCCATGGAATGGCTTCCAACTCACGGTGACCTGCACTGGGTTTCCGAGGCAGTAAATATTTACAGAAGTAGGTTGCCCTGTCTTCTTTCTGCAGAGTGGTTAGTGGGTTTGCACTGCAGCCTTCTGGTTAGCAGTTGCATGGCTTAGGCACTGCCCCACCTGAGCTCCTTAGTCTTAGTCTAGACTTGTCCAATCACAGCTGTATGTAGATCTTCCTTCTTTGGTATTAGCTTCATAGCTAACTTCTTCACTTCCTTTGGCTTTACAGCGTCTTCTTGTGTTAAAACCAAAACCAAACCCACTGCCATGAAGTCAATTCCAACTCATAGTGAGCAACTCTGTGGGACAGAGGAGAACTGCCCCATAGGGTTCCCAAGGCTGTAAATCTTTATGGAAGCAGATTGCCTCTCTTTCTCCCATGGAGCATCTGGTGGGTTCCAATCACCGACCTTTTGGTTAGCAGCTGAATGCTTTAACCACTGCACCATGAGAGCTCCTTCTTCTATATTAGAAAGTAGAAATTCTCTGCTTTTATGATTGAAGTTCTTTGAGGGTACAGTCTTGGCTTTGCTATGAATACTGGTATTTACCTCATTTCAGGCTTAGTGGTGCTTGTATAATAGACATTCAAACCCACCAGTCTGTTGCTGGATGGTCACATGATGTAATGAGAATTATTTGAAGAGTAGGTGCTAGCCCATCTGCTGCTGTTCTGTGGTCTGAGGGAATTAACTATGTGGCTGCAAAGATGAGAAGATGAGTGAGGCTGTTTTTATTCCTGCAATATTTTTTTCTTTTTTTTCTCTTTTTCTTATTTTCCCCTCTCTCTTATCCTTTCTTCTCTTTTTGCTAGGAAGCCAAAAAGAAGTATGACAAGGAGACGGAGAAGTATTGTGGCATCTTAGAAAAACACTTGAATTTATCTTCCAAAAAGAAAGAATCTCAGCTTCAGGAGGTAAGAAACTTTACTAATATCCTGGATAAAGTGTTAAATTTTTACATGGTGCTGTTGATATGTGCTGGTTACTCTATGGGTAGGAAGAGATCTTGGAAACCGGGAGCGTCATCTCCATGCCTTACCTGTTGCCTTTATATCCTGCCTTCCCTTTGTGGCTGTCCAGCCTCCCAATGGCTAAGGAACATATTGGCGAAGAAAACTACCCACCTTCTTGAGGGGAGGCCCTAATTGTTAGAAAGCATTTCTTCCTTTCAAACTGAGATGGACTTTTCTGTTTTTCTCATTCTTACCTGTTGGCCTTAATTCTGCTCTCTGTACTTGACCTTTTGACTTTCTGCCTTATATCAGTGAAACTTTGGTCATTCTTCCTGAATGTGAAATTTTTTATTTCAACCAGTGCTTGACATTAGTTGGTTGTTTCTAAAACAATGTTTTATTGTCCCCATATGTATTATAGAGCCCCTGGATGGTGCAAATGTTAATGTGCTTGGCTGCTAACCCACAGGCTGGAGGTTTGACTTCACCCAGAGGTACCTTGGAAGAAAGAAAAACCAACTATGGAACACCCTATGGCACACAGTTCTACTCTGACATGCATGCATACATGGGGTGGCTGTGAGTCGGAATTGACTCAACTGCTAACTTTTCCCCTTCTTTTGGCTTTGAAATATCCTCCTGTTAAGACCAAAACCAAACCAATTGCCATCAAAGCAATTCTGACACATAGTGACCCTGTAGGGCACAGTAGAAATGCCCATAGGGTTTCCAAGGCTGTCAATCTTTATGGAAGCAGACTGCTTCATCTTTCTCCTACAGAGCGATTGGTGGGTTTGAACTGCTGACCTTTTGGTTAGTAATTGACATATACTGGTATTGTGCTTTGGTAATTTTGTTTCTAGAAATAAATTCTTTGACCAGCCCTCTGGTCTTCCTGGATATACATGGGATCTTTTAAAAAGTAGTTTACTTGGAAAGAAAAGACAACTTTGCAGGTACAGACCTGTGACCATTTTAATTTGATTCATGGAGATTTGCATGGCAGCAAGGGAGTTGATGTTTTCAGGAGATATGATGTTTTCCTAGTGAAAATCCAAATTTGGCTTCAGTGTCATCTTATTTTTTAGCTTTTAACAATTTGCCTGACCTTTCTTTAGGATATGTGCTAAGGAGAGGCTGTGACTTCCAGGCTAACTTCTCTCTTAAATTTGGTTTCATTTTGAGCAAATACCCTTTCAATGCTTCTGTCCATGGAAGTTCATTTGACACTCTAGGGCTGAGAGATCTGAAGGATGATGAGAAATCACATCACAGATTTGCTACACATCTTCAGTTAGAAATGTGTTTTTCTCCTCAGAATTCTTTGCTTTGATATGAGTGTTTAAACTGATTCTTGGAGTGGTGACTGTAAATATTTTTTTGCTCCTGTTGTTGTTAGGTGGTCAGTCAGTGCTCAACAGATGTTTTTAATGGACTTTGCAGATCAGTTCGTGGCCTGATCCAAGAAACAGTTGATACCTGGTGTGAGCTGTAGAACATAGAAAGCACTAACATGTCCTTGATGATCTTGTGTCTTGAGTGGAGAAAAAGAAACAAACATATAAGGAAATGATTGTTTCTTTCTATTTTATTGTGATTTGGGTGAAAGTTTTTAGATCAAATTAATTTTCCATACAGCAGTTATACACATTTTGTCTCATGACATCGATTGCAGTTCCCCACAGTGTAACAGCTCTTTTCCCACTTCCTCCCCAGGGTTACCTCCTCTCTGTGTTTTTCCCTCCCATGTATTCCTGCCCTCCTGAGCTGTCTCCCTGTGCAAACACTGCCTTTCTGTTCTCCCATAATTGATCACTCCAAGGAGTGATACAAATGTTCAGCCCAAATGCCTGTCTATTGTTTAGCTGGAAGCCACAGGAGTGAGTTCAATTCCAGACCTGAGGGTAGCTGAGGGCCATAGTCTCAGGGGTCTTTATCAGACCAGCAAACCTGGTCTTTTTTTTTTTTTTAATCATTTTGAATTTTGTTCCACATTGTTCTCCCACTGTATCTAGAATCTCCTACACTGATATTCCTCCAAGTGGTTGACAGTGTTAGTTGGGCACTATCTAGTTCTCCTGGTCTCATGGTCATATAGGTTGAGGACTAATTGTTTCCATGTGTCTTTGCTTTTCTTCATTCTTTGCTCTGGATGAGGAGAGACCTTTTGTTGCATCTACATGGCCACTTGCAAACTTTTAAGACCTCAGTTGCTACTTACCAAAGTAGGATATAGAATAATGTTTTTGTGTGGTATGTTATGCCAATTGAGCTTGATGTCCCCTGCGACCATGGTCCCAAGCCCACAGGTCCAACTACTCATTCCCTCCAGGTAGCTGGCTGTGGCTAAGTCACCACAACCTTGTCCTTTGTCAGCTCTATTATGCACCCAGATATTCTTATAGCACATACAGATAGGTTTGTAGAAACATCATCTGCTAGCCCTCTACATGGTCATGGGTGCCCTATTCCCTGCATAGCCATACCTGATCGTTCAGGCTGTCCACCCATCTGTCCGCCCATGGATCAGTGCTTGCCATCACTCGCAGCACAGTACTGTGTATGCAAAAGGGTTCATCTTTGTTGTCTGACTCTTCCATGTACCTCTTTATATCTTCCTCTTCCTCAAGGAAGTGATTCTTGAAGCAGTCATAGAGGAGTAAGAAGACCAAAGAAATGCTTATTTTCATGAGATGATATAAAAAGCTCTACATGAGGATGTGGGCACTAGAAGACACCCAAAGATATGTGAATTGTCCATGTTAAAGATTTAATTCTGTTTAGAATCTTCCCCAATACCCTCCCTTTTGGTTATCATTCTGGTAGTGTCAGTTGGCATTTAAGGTTTGCAAACTATATTTAAGGAAAGACTGTTCATAATGAGCAGATCTGTCCAGCTAGACAGTTTCTAAGTAGCTAGAAATTATGGTTTGGATGACCATACACCATTAGTCAGCTCTGTAACATTGAGCATGTTTGTGATTGTTCGTATACACACCTGGGAGCGGGTCCAGTGCCCAGTCCTCATGTAGGCATGGCATTCCTCAGAGTGAGGGTGCCTTTCTTTGGGATCTGTTCTCTCCTGTCTGGATATGACAGACTTGGTCAGGGATAAGAACTTCTTTTTCAGAGTCATCTCAATTTCATCTCCCCTCAAGATAGCACTGTATGGGGACCAGAACATTAGGCACCAGTTGTCATTATTGTTAGTTGCCATTGAGTTGATTCTGACTCATGGCAACCCCCAAAATTGCAGAGTAGAAAAGCATTTTATAGGGTTTTCAAGTCTGTAGACTTTCAGAAGTAGATCATCAGGCCTGTCTTCCAAGGTGCCTCTGGGTGAGTTTGAACTGCCCACCTTTCAGTTAATAGTCCAGTGTTTAATCTTTTGCGCCACTCAAGGACTCCCTAGGCATCAAAGAGTGACCTTACTTCAAGGACTACCCTGCCATATATTCATTATGTGACTTAGGGCAAGTTACTTAGTCTCTCTGAGCTTTGTTGTTGTTGGGTGCCATTGAGTTCATTCCAACTCATGGCAACCCTATGTGATAGAGTAGAATTGCCCCATAGGGTTTTCTTGGCTGTAATCCTTATGGAATCACATCTTGAGGTCTTTCTCCTTCAGAACTGCTGTGTTCATACTGCCAACTTTTTCATTAATAGCTGAGTGCTTAACCTTTGCACCACCAGGGAAATAATCAGTTACTAACTGAAAGTGGTTCACATCCACCCAGAGGCACTTTGAAAGACCTGGAAATGTGCTTCCCAAAGATCACAGTCACTGGGAACCCTACTGAGCACAGTTCTTCTCTGAAACACAGCATCTTCATGACTTGGAATCCACTTGACAGCAATCTGAGCATTTGAAACTTTTCTTAAGAAAAGCCTGTTCACAGTGAGCAGATTTGTGAAATACTCCTAAAATGTCTGCTCTTTGAAAAGATAAGGTGTAGCCTACCACATTTTCCTTGTGTATTATCCCTGCTACTGGCCTGTTACTCCTCTCATTCTCTGTTCTCAAATTGGATGGCACTGTTCTGGAGTTTGGCTGTTACATCTCTCAGTGGACTTTAATTCATTACTCTTTTATTACAGTCCTTTGTATTCTTTTCTTTTACCCCTTCATGCTTTCTAAGTAATTTGAGGGCAGAGTTTCATTGTTTCTTGCAAGTCCTGATCTGTTCAGGCCACTTAAACACTTCTCCCCCCCTACCCCTCTGGATAATTGTTTTTATTCATCAGAGAAAGCAAGCTTTGATACATTTAAAAATAATTTAAAATCATATTTAAATGCTTCAATAGTACACAAATAATTTCTAGGACTGAAATATCAGAGAAGATTTGAAATCCACTTGTCTCTATCTCCCAGCTTGAAATACTAACATTCCCAGTTTGGAGTGTGACAACCTTGTTGATGGAGATTTGGTAGCATTGTAAGAGAGCTCCATAAATTTTGGGCCATGTTTTATTCAAATGTTCAGAACAATTGGACAGAGTTTGCTGCTTTTTCAAAAAACCCAGCAAATGATTTAGGGTTTTCTAATTAACCAGGATAAAGGGTAAGAGAAGTATATTATTGGACATTAGATTTGATGCGGGTTAAAGCCCTGTGTAGTACAGAGGAAGAGACACCAGCAGGAAAGATCACCCTTGGAAGAGGACCTACTTTGTGTGGTTCTGCACTGCCCTCTCCTGGCTCATGCTGAACATGTATTCCTCCTGTAGTTCTGGGCCTATCTCACTATCGAGGCTCCTTTGGGAGGCAGGTAGCTCTCAAAGCAGTATGTTGAGCTAGAGGCAATGGGATTTGTCGGAGACTCTCCACCAAGGAATGCCAGGCATGGGAAATGGGTTTGAGTGACTGTGCAGGAACAACTTCCATAGGGCATGTCTGAGTAAGTCCTGTTACTTCTAAGAGCAAGGGACAGGATCTTAGTGGAAGGAAAGAGATTTAGGGC